CATCTGAGTTTACCTAGTATATATCTGGCATAGCACTAAAGGAGCTGTAGCCGTGCCTGGCTTTATAAGCGATATGAATAACGATATCGTCGTTAATATGACCCTCCCATAAATCGACGATTAACTTAAGAACCCTTTTTCTTCCTTTTCAAATAACCTATCTTTGATTTCTTCCACTTCAAACCACTATTTTTCTTCCTCTTTTTCAGCTAATATATTCGGAATAACCTATACTGCCGTATATCTAATAGCGGCACCTTGCAGAAGCTTAATTCCTTAATTGTTAAGTTCTGCTCTAAAGCTCTCTTATAGTCAAAATAACGATCTATTAGCAAGATAGTTATAATACTACCTTCCGCGGCCTCACAGTCTTCTCAACAGCTCTAGGGCTGCCGTTACTCAAGGCCAAGGCGTTTAAAACCTTTAATTAATCGACGGTTAGTTCCGTCGCCAACCAGTTAAAGAACGAATATATCCCGTACAAGTCGTCCTCGTCATTATCTCCTAAATCTTCAGTACTGTTATCGACGTGTTTAGATACTTCTTTCAACGAATCATTTATCCGTGACTTCTTCGAGGTATACTTTTCCTGCTTTTTAAGGTCCGTTTTAATATTCTTCCGGAACTACTTTTGCCGATCTTTATCCTAGGAACTGATAATACGATCACAGCGTTCTATAACCTCTTCGGAGGGCTCCCCCCCTATTCTTCCAACATCCCTTATTAATATTAGGGCAGGTCTATATAGGCCGATAAAAGGTCTTTACCTTCCAAAGCTACCGGCAGTTAGAAATTCACTCCCTTGGCATTATACTATTCCGAGAAGAGGAGACGGAGGAGGTAGGCTAACCCTCTTTATCTTTTCCTAGGAACGTCGCCGTATAGAAGGAGGAAGCAGCACCTGGTTTCTATTCTAGCAGTTAAGTGTAGCGATACCGTAACCACGTCTTATACTCGTTAATAACTAACGATATTAAGGGCAGCTTTTGTAATAATACTAACAGGATAAAAGAGTACTATAGTTCTAACTATTCCGGAGCTACTAAAGCTATCGTATTAAAGAACGCGCGAAATTAATCTTCCGTAGAATCAAATACCCTGACTTCGTAAGTTATAGCCTCCTAGTATAGTTTTTGGAAACCGTTAAGCCACTTATTATAGGGCGTTTTCCTAATAATTATAACGTAATCGTCCTAACAGCGCTTAACTAAGGCTTTCTACGCTATATTCGAGGGTTCTAAAATTTTCTTCAGGGCTTTTAGCTTACTCTTCGTATTCTACACGCCTATAAGGCTATCCCTCCAGTACTCGTACTTCTTATCTTTTAGTATCTATGGCTTATATTATGCTTCCTAGATTATATTGACTATCGTGGATAGCTCTTCCGGTTCTATTAGTAACCTAGGGTATATTACTTCTTTAATAGATAGATCTATAAGCTCTTTAACGCGAAGGGCAGCTACTTCTTCGAGTATATATTTAAACTATATGTACCACCTATAAAAGCAAGACAGGATAACTATTATACTCACTATTATAATAATATTGTTAAAGAATAGAATAGTGGTTAATAGCTTTAGTAGAAGGATGAAGGGTAAAGATACGATTAATAGTAGAGGAGGATTATTAGTAGATGAGGTCGGATTAACAGTAGAGGGGTAATAAGCAGGCGAATACTTCTAATGTAATACGCTATCCGTAGCAGTATTCAAGGTAAAAAGGTAAGGCTATCCATAGCCTAAGACCTACTAGATTAATCGGAAACAGGGTGCTTATATTAGTTTAAGCCAGGCTTATAACTATTAGAATAATCGGATTAAGGTACCGCGAAAGTATCTATATTCTATTCTTCTAGACTTAAGGGTATAAGTCTAGGGCGATATTTATACTACGCTATAGATATAAGGAGGCCCGTACTAAGTACCCGAGGCCGCCGACTATATCCTGCGATTATACCTAATAACCTCCTTAATATCACCCTTTATTAGGCGGAAGTCTAGTATACTATAGCGTGTAATAGTGGCTAAGGGTATCTATTACACGCTATAGCGCGCTGGACTTCCGCCTAACGAAGGGTTATATTAGGGAGGTCGTTGGGTATACCCGCAGGACCACAATATATATAGTCGGCGACCTCGGGTACTTAGCATAGGCTTCCCCGCGCCTATAGCGTAGTATAAACAGCGCCCTAGACTTATACCCTTAAGTATAGAGTAATGAGACATAGATAATGCCGCGGTACCTTGACCCGATTATTCTGACAGTATCTGACAAATACAATTAATTTGGGGCCCTACTAGGGAGCCAGTATAGATAACTATTTTGCTAGTAAACCGGTAGGGCCCGCTGAGTATAATAAGCTACCTAAGTACTAACCTGTTTTGTACATATACTTCGAGTACCTAAATATATAGTTATAGTCTCTTTTTAATTAATCAGTAAAAATAAACTGAAGGGCCTAAACTAAAACACTAAACCACTATACTAACTATCACGAACTACTAAGATAACCTATTTTTTAAGAAAGTTAGCACCGCCTCCATTTCCTCTATCTCTTTAGTATCTTCTTACCAACTAAGAGTCTTTTCTTTACCGCTCTTTAATAACGTATCTATTTTACCCTTAACCTTAGCAGAAATAAGCTCTAAATTATACGTATCTGAGTCGCCCTTACTAATCGATTCTAAGGTATCGAAAATCCGGGCGTATTTCTAAAGAGCCTATATACCCCCTTATATATAGCTAAGGTAGGCGGGGCTATTAATAGTAAGAGAGTAGGAGGTAGTAAGATATCGTGTTACTATTCTATAGCCGTGATTTTAAAGCTTAAAGGGAGCTGTTTAGTACTATTATTCCCTTAGCCCTTTTACTTTCCCGTGCTAGATATCGTAATAGCTCCTTTTAGCCGGCCTTTTCTATATACCGGTATAGGCTTTAGGGGCCTAAGGCTAGGAGGCAGAAATGTGGTACCCGTATTCGCTATAACTACTTTATAGCGAATCTATTATTAGTACCGATTAATTAACATAATACTAAGCGGCTCGGAACTACGATAATAGTTATATAGTATATACTAATAGGATAAGCCTAGGCTAGTCGTGATAGTATAAGGATTATAGGGCTTGGGCGGGGGTAATAGTTATTATAATAGATTCTATTTATAGACCTTTTCTAAGGCAGAGAGCTTAAATTTAAGCCGCTTAAGAGCCTATAGGATAACCTATTAACTAATAAGGATAAAGAGAACTTTAGCTATAAAAAGCTCCACTTTATTAATTCGACGCTACCTCTTTAAAGCTAGGTCCGCCTTTTAGTTACTCTAATATAACTATAGGCTACGGGAAATAGTTACTAGGTTACCTATAAAAGAGTCGATATACTATTTAAGGCTAGCGTACGAAGACTATACGATAAAGATAGTTGTATTACTAAAATAGGATACCCGATTTAAGTAGTAATCTATAATGTTATCTTTAAAAAGATTAGTCTAAATGCCTAGGGCGTAATTAACTGCTTTTTCTAGGTACTTACCCCATTACTTAAATACTTAGAGTCGCTCCGCGAAGACCTTAATTATTAGGTTCGAAATTAACGAATTCTAATCGTTTAAAAATATATAGAACGTAATATACTATTCTACCCTGCTACTAGATAGCCTAATAGGCTTAAGAATGGAGCCCTTAGTCTTTACTAGTATATTTATATTAATATACTAGTATTATAGAATATTAGAAACCTGCCTTAAGCATATATAGCGATTTAGGGTATTTATTAACGCGAGCTCTTAGTCCGTAATAATATACTATAATAGCGGTAAACCCTTAGCTAAGATATAATCGGTTAAAGCCTTAAGCGCCTAGGTATATTAGTACTCCTTCTCTTTATCTATAAAGGCGATCGCGATTAAGAAGGACTTCTGGAGTAGCGATATTCTATAAAAGTTAAGTAATAGTATATAGAACTTATTAGTTTTATAGGTTATATTAATAACTAGAATATTAGGGGCTTATTCTATAAGACTAATTACTAATTTCGGCGTGATAAAAAGATATTAGATTCGGTGAAGTTAATCGCGGTAATTATAGTAATAAAAGAGGTCCTAATTATTAATTTACTAATAAGTTAATATACGTTTATATAATAGATAAAGATAGCTTACTTTATAAAGCGATTAAATTAGAGTCCTCCTAGTAAGTTCTTTACGGCGGTAACGGGCTAGTAGGTTCGTGATATTAGACCTCGCGATCTGTAAAACTTACCTACTCGAAGAAAACCCTAAAATGGATTCCGGGATCCGGATCTTTATTACGATCTCGCGGGGCCGAATACCGCTATTCTATATAATAACGATATTATCCTTATATAATACGATACTTTCTATCCGGAATCGACTAAAAGAACTAGCTTCGACCTAGCTATAGTAATAGCTTAATAGCGCTATATTATAGGAGGCCACGACTTCTATAACCCACCCTCTAAGGTTATTGCGATAACGGAGGTTAACCTTAAAAGGGTAGGCTATTATCTGAGTTATAGTCCTCCAACGCTTTAACTCGTAGAATTAAGTATCTTAAGCCACGGGCGCCCGACCTTTTCCGTAATAGTACGTGATACGTATCGGCGGTCTACTATAGGGATACTATTCGTTTATAATAAGGCTATAGCTATTCGAGTAGGCGTAGGTAATAAAGGCTTTAAAGCCCTGCTTATATAAGATATAAACCTTAGAGGGTAGGCCGGAGCTATACGGTCGTTATTCTTCGGCTATAGTATTATAGGTTAGTATTTTACTTTAATTTTCGAGGGGGTGTATAAGAAACTAGTAGATTAATTAGAAAGAGACTATAACTATATACTTAGGTACTCGAAGTGTATATGCAAAATAGGTTAGTATTTAGGTAGCTTATTATGCTTGGCGGGACCTACCGGTTTACTGGCAAAATAGTTATCTGTACTGGCTCCCTAGTAGGGCCCTTAATTTGGAACCTCTCAATCTGACCGTTTTTATCGTGTTTTATCCTCTGACGGCTACGCTGTATTCGACAGTCGGATGGTTTCCGGCTCGTTTGCAGCTCCCCAAGAAGTGCCTTCTACGAGCGACATCTCCATTAACAAACGTCTCACGTTTCATACTTCGACATGGCGGAATCAACTCCCTTTGGCAAGACTCGTGGCAACGGCGCGGGTCCACCTGTGCCTGACAACGCTAGCGCTCCCTGGCCCAGCGACGCTATCGATGTCCGATCTTCCAGCTCTCCCGCTGCGGATCACGATATCTTGCTGGGTCCTCCGTCTGGCGCAGTCACGCCTGGTAGCCCTCAGTTGTCAGGAAATCCTTCCTTTTCCGGCAGCAGCTCCCATCACGAAGACTGGGACGTCTTTCCACCTCTCGACCGTTTAACGGTTTTAGATATTCTCGACAATTTTGCTCTACCACACCATCTTGAGAAGCTCCAGAAAGGCATATCGGCACAGACACAGAAAGTTCGAAAGTCTAAAGATGCATTCAAATCGCGAAGCCAACACGCCCGGGTGCGCATGGTCGAGGAATGGAGACGTCGCATTCCTACACCCGACGAACAGCTCGAAAGATACCGCAGGCAGATGCGCGCTGGAGTCGACAAGCTTGCAGGAAGGTGGAGTGACACGAAGATCATCACGTTGCGCGAGAAAATATCGTTCATTTGCGGCGTTATGAACATATTCATCAGCGGGTACCTGATCGGAGGCCACCCTCAATCGTTCCATATTTGGTACACCGCTCAGTTGATGTATTTCATGCCCATACGTGTATTCACGTATCACCGTCGGGGTTACCATTACTTCCTGGCAGACTTGTGCTATTTCGTCAATTTTCTTCTTATGATCAGCATTTGGGTCTTTCCTAACTCGAAGCACCTCTTCACGTCAGTCTACTGCCTTGCCTTTGGGAATAACGCCGTTGCCATCATCATGTGGAGAAATTCTCTCGTCTTTCACAGCTTCGACAAGGTCACATCGCTCTTCATCCATATCATGCCTTGTGCGACTCTACATTGCATGGTCCATTTGTGGCCTGATGGTCTACAGGCAAGTCGGTTTCCTGCTATATGGGATCTGAAACATTCTCCTGTGGCGTCGGCAACAGCATCTGTCAACATCTTGTCCATGTTGGCCTGGAGTTCAGTACCTTATGCGGTCTGGCAACTGTCCTATTACTTTTTCATAACAGTCCGCCGGCGGGAAAAGATCGCTGCTGGCCGGCCGACATCGTTTACTTGGCTTCGGCGATCGTATTCGAAGTCATGGATTGGGAAACTGGTCTTGTCACTTCCCAACGCGCTACAGGAACCGGCTTTCATGGCAATTCAATGCTTCTACGCAATGCTGACCATGATACCATGTCCGCTGTGGTTCCTCAGTCGTTACGCCTCGTCTGCGTTCCTCATGGTCGTCTTTTCATGGAGTGTATACAATGGCGCAACTTACTACATCGATGTTTTCGGGAGACGTTTCCAAAAGGAGCTTGAATCTCTGAAGGCAGAAGTTGGCCAGTGGCAGAGCAGTCCCGAATCCCTGGCGACTTCTCCACATATGGTTCCGAATCCAGACGACCCAGTGCCCACGGAACTCACCATGCCCGTCGCTGAAGGTATTACGCCGGGACTCGATCCCGACGTTGTCACTGCTACAGTCTCCGCAACAGAGCCTGACGGTGGGATAGCCACAGAGACTGCCATTACTGGTCTAGATATTCCTGCTAGGCTTTCCGCAACGGAACGTAAACTGTCTAAACAGAGCATGTAGAGATAGTAGCCTAACTATCAGGGATATCTGCTTTTCTATCCGTCGGTGTATCTGTAAGCATATGCCTTTTCATGAGTTAGCTAGTGCAGCCGTGATAATCATTCTCTTAATAGTCTAGACTTTTAGTAATAATTTATTCGATATTCTATATCTATAATTAGTAAACGAATAAAGAATAGTTTTTAAGAGTACTAGTATTAGGCATAAGTAAACTAGTATCTAGTATAATCTTATCTTAATAAGAATTAGATAACTCAGGGATTCTATGATCTAGTCTCCGCTCCGCCCTAGGCCCTAGTATATTATAGAATCGTAGGCATAAAAACATCGGTATTATTAATTAACTAATATATAAGATTTAAGACTAATACGAATATCTTAACTAAATAATAACGTAGAATAGTAATAGGGCAGTTGATTTGTTAATGTAATTAAGGCTTGTAAATATATAGATCTATATCTATAACTATAAATTATCCGACCGGTTAGGAACTCCTACTACCGTAATTTCTATAGTAAAGATTCTGCAGGTGTCTACCCTAATTACCGAGATTATAATCTCGGTTAAATCCGGCCCATTATATAACCGTATCTCAGGACCTATTTAATATACCCTGTTAATAGTTATACTAGTAGTCAGCCTATTAAAGCCATTCGTAGTAGGCCGACGGTTTAATTATTCCATAGCTTCCTTTAACTTTAACCTTCGGCGTTCTAATATACTCTGTTGGGACCTCCTCTAGCTTTCGATACTATAAGCGTTCTCTTATATATACTACGCCCGCCTATGCTCTAAATCTCGTAAACTCCTCGCCCCTTAAAAGAGTCTTCGTTAATCCCAATAAGGTAACTATTATTCATCCATCACGGCGTCGATTATCAGCCTATTAGATATTCTGTCGGATATTTCGTTAGGACTTCTACTAGCTGCTTTTACTATAATTAGTCCCTCCTATCTATTAGGTTATTAATTATCACGGCGTTAATCTATCGCTCCGTTAATCGTCGTGGCGTTAGTCTATTAGATATTCCGTCGGATATTCTATTAGGACTTTAACTAGCTTCTTTAGCTATAGTCGGTCCCTCCTATCTATAAGGTTATCAGCTATAATACGGGTACTCGATATAGTACTCGATATAGTGCTCGACGGTGGTGCTATATCTTAACTAGTACTTAAGGAGGTACTGTATCTTAACCGCCGGCTAAAAGATCTCGACTATACCTTTAGGGATTTAATAGGGAGAGCTTATATTCTAATATTAAGATCTTATACGTGATATTTTAGTTAGGCAACAACGCCACCGCTAAGATATATATATACCGCACCCATTTTGTATATACACATTATGTAAGAAATCGTAGGTGATATAGTAACTCACTTAATCTTAACACTTAGCTCAGAGCTATAGGGGTAATCGGTTATTTTATATAGAATATCGTGTAGAATATCGTGACGTATTATTATAGTGTTTTGGGTGGTTAGATTCAGAGTTACGATATAGGAAGTGATATATTAAGGTTTACAATATCGCCTGCGATTTTCTATATAAAGTATATATATATAATAGGTGCGGTATATATGTATCTTGGCAGCGGGTTCGTGGCCGCACTAAAATGTCATGTTTGAGGTCTTGATATGGAAACGTGAGGTCTCCCTATTAAGTCCCTACCTTTAGTATATACCAGAATATAAATGGAATACACGGAATTATATATATATTTATCTAAGTAAAGTTTATAATAGCTTATAGGAATATCTAACTGTACAGGAAAAGCAGGGGATATAACTATAGGTATATATAACTAAGGTACTCTATATATCCAATATAATATAGTTTATTATACCCTGATAAGGTGGCTATAGTATCTAATATACATAATATGCCCTGACTAGGCATATATCTAGCCAGCTGGTATGATCGGACCTAGGGATTCTACGGTTTAGCAAGGGGTGACCTTTACTATAAAATATAAGGTGTAATAAAGATATCTTCTTTAAACTAAGGGGCGAAGCCCCGAACTAATATATCTACGGGGGAACCCCGGGGATAGTTCGGCTTAGTAACCATAGACCCTAGTCTTAATAGTAGACCGCCGTGGAACGCGGTTCTAATAGTAGACCGCCGTGGAACACGGTTCTAATAATAGACAGCTATAGAATACGGTTTTAATAGTTATTATCCTTCCTTTAACTCACGTACGCCCCTCTACTATTACTAGTACGGGTAGGGTTAATACACTAAAAACGTTAATAGCCGCCCTACTCCTAGGAATAACGCTAGCCTTCAAGCTTAGTATAAACCGGCGTAACGCGGCTAAAACGGATAATATAGGTACTATTAGATAGCTAACTCCCCGCTCTACTTAGTAGTTCTAGGTATAGCTAGGCGGACATAGCGCGCTACCCTATAAGAGACTTAGAAGAACTTTTACAATACCACCTACACCTTATAACACCTATCCCGAAAATTTCTTCTCGGACCTATTATACCTAAATGCAAGAAGGCCTAAGCGCCTCTTCTGCTAACTAATAGGACCCCGGCCTAGACTAAAGCTTAGTATAAGGGCGCCGCCGCCCGACAGATATAGTAGGAGTAGCCCCAACTAAGAGTAACGCTAAATCCTTTCCCGTATATACCCGAAAATATCTATAATAGACTATGGAAAACCTTATTTAATTCTTATAGTAGAAAGCCTCCGCCATTAATATTCTAATCTAGGCCGTCGAATAGAGTATATCTAAAGCTAGGAATATGCCGGGAGCTAATAACGCCCTAGTAAGCTAGCTCGATAACGAATTTATCGGCCTAATTAAGATAAGGGTACCGGCTTTAGTAACCGGTATAGACCCGCCTAGGGCGCTAGGAGGTAAAGACTCCTAACCCCGACCGAATAGCGTAGTACCGCCCGGTAAGATTAATCCTAGTTTACCGCCCGCTAAAGAACACCCCGTAAAGCCCGAGAGATAGCCTAAAGTAAAGCTAAAAGCCCCCCCGCCGAAATCGATAAGCTAGTAAAACCCTCCCCCTAATACTTAACAAGATTAGACTATTATAATAAAAGGGAAAAAGAAAAAGAATAACGTAACGCCCCCGGATATAACTAGGGAACGCCTAGTAAAAAAGGATAATAGAGTCTTTATCCGATTCCCGGATATAGTACTAATATATCTAAAAAGGAAAAAGACTATAACGATCCTACGATAAGCGATTACTAAGACCGGTAAAGTCGATAACCAGGATAATATTAGTATTAAATAGACCCTTACTAGTATAGCGATCTACTCTAATAACGCCAAAGCTAGGGAGAAATTCCTATACACTAAAACGGATATTCACGATATACTAAAGGCTTTTTATATTCAGGGAGTGAAGATATAGTATACCTACGTGATTTATAAGGTAGTCGACTATACTAATAGTCTTATAGTAATAAAGTCTATAATTAAGATAGAAGCCTTTAAAAAGACCGTACTAAAGCCGGTCCGTGTATAAAGACGTAAATAGCAGAATATTAATAAGAAATACTCTAGCTAAACTATCTTTTTCAAACCGGAACCGAAAAGACGCTTTGGCTTATTAAAGATATCGCTATAAATAAGGCCCTATAAAGCTAAATAACCGATTATTTAGTATAATAAGTGCTAAAGATACTACCCCCGATACACTTATAATACTAAAAGTAAAGCGTTCGAAACTGCGGTAGACCCCGGAGCTAAAAGCCCTACGAAAAACAGCTAATAGGGCTTTTAGGGTTTTTAGAAAAGCTAAAAAGAGAGCCTCGGCTACCCGACTAACGGCTCTAGAAACCACCTGGAAAGAGGCTCGAAACGCCTATTATAGGGCAGTAAAAATAGTAAAAAAGAACCACTAGGAGGCCTTCCTAGCTAACGCTTAAGGCCCTAAGAGTTTTAAAGCCTATAACTATACGAAGAGCGGCCTAAACGCGAAGATCCTACCGATTTAAACCCCTATAGAATAAAAAGCCTACGCCTTCGATAAAACATATAACGCCCTTCTTTAGACCCTTTTTCCTCTTCCTTCCGCCACCGACGCCCCTAAAGCCACTATATTTATAGACCCTTCGGGGGACCTAGGCCCCTCTAACCCTTCTAACGGCCACTAAAGCCTAATTAGATCACGTAGTAAGGGCCTTAGAAGATCGTAGGAGTAGCCTAGCCTATAGGCTACCCAACTATAATGCACTATCCTTAAAGCTACTAAGGGGAAAGCCCTAGGGCCTAATAGGATAAGCTTATAGCCGATCCAATAGGTCTATAAGGCTATTCCAGGGCCCTTCTTAAAGGCCTACTTAGGTTTATTTTTAGTAGGCCACCACCTTACCTGCTAGAAAGAGGCCCTAGGGGTTATTCTACTAAAGCCGGGGAAGAAGGACTATTCTAATCCTAAGTCTTATAGGATTATAGCCCTTCTAAACTACTTAGGTAAAGTCCTCGAGAGGGTTATAGCTGCTAGGCTAAACTTTTTAGCTAATACGCGCGATAACCTTCTATACCCTAATCAGATAAGTGGTAAAAAATAATAATCCGCTATCGATACGGCCCTTCTTCTCCTCCACTATATCGAAAAATAGCGTAAATCACGGCAAAACGCCGTAATTTGTACGCTATTTTTAGTTATCAAAGGAGCCTTCAACCACGTCGCCCACCCTTAGCTACTAAGAACCCTTTAAGAGCTTTAACTACCCTCGAATCTAGTTAAATAGATAGCCTCTTTCACAGAAAATAGGCGTATCTAACTAGCCTTCGAGGGTCAGGTTTAGCAGCCTACCCCCCTAAATATAGGGGTCCTATAAGGCTCCCCGGTTTCCCTTATCCTATTCCTAATTTATATTAGGAAGGTTATAGCGGGGCCGGATTTTAAAGGTCTTTAGTTATTCTCTATACACGATTTTCAGCTATCTATAGCGTCTACGTCGGCTAGGAAAAACTATAAGATCCTAGAAAGAGCCGTAGCGTCCCTTTTCCAAGCAGCTAATAATAACCACGTTCTTTTCGACCCGGATAAAACAGAGCTTATTCACTTCCACTAAAGACGCTCTATTAAAGACGCCCCGGTTATTATAGGGGGGCACCTAGTAAAACCTACGCTAGGTGCTA